TGCAGCCTTCTGCATTACCCAGAGTGTCAGAAGGGCTGTACTCCCGGTGGAGAACCCGGGCACTCTCCTGATCTGCGCCAAGAGATCAGGAGGTACCAAACCAAGGGCACCGAGAACAATGGGGAGCCTGGCGACAGTGTACTTGGGATGCAAGCGAGACATTTCAAAGGCGAGGTCCGCATATTTATCATGCTTTTCCTTAATCTTGCCAATCACATTGGTGTCAAAAGGGACAGAAAATTCAATGATATAAATAAATTCATTGGCTTTATCAAAAAGGACAAGATCAGGTTTGTTGGCAGGAATTCTTCTGAGGCTGTATATGGGCCTATTCCACAGAAGTTTGAAAGCATCATTTTCCATGACGCCCTGGACATGTTCAGGGTCGTACCATGGATGGACCTCGGAGTCAAAGCCACAGGCATGTCGGAGACGGTAGTAAAAGCAACGAGCCATGCCATCATGTCGTTTAAGATATGCTGTTTGTGCCAAGGAAGGGCATCCACTGACAAGGTGTTGGACAGTCTCCGTGAATTCATTGCAAAGACGACATTTCATATTGATATTTTCTTTAAGAATCACATTTAGGCGATTGCGAGTGGGAAGTGACTGGTCCTGAGCAGCAAAAAGGAAGCCCTCAGTTTCACATTTAAGACCAGCCGACTTCATCCAGGCGAAGGAGTCGGTGGGATTGCTATTCCGTTCAACACACTGCATGTACACACGATGCAATGGCTTCTCAGAAAGCTTCTCCACAAAGGACCGACTCTGGGCAGACTTGGTGAAGGACTTCACCTGGTTTACTCCCATCGCTGTACCGTCCAGCAGTACATCGCCATCAACAAAATCTACCTGAAATCTCAGATTCTGTCCAACAACTTTGGCACGCTTAAAATAGCTGTGGAATTCCTTGCTTTCATCATGAGTCTTCACATGCATCACCAGAGGATCATCCGATAAATAAATATGTGCAAAAGTACACAATAAAATTCTATCATGAAGAGTCTCCACATTAATCAAACCCCGACCTCCAGAATTGATTGGCATGTATAAACGGTTAAGAGAGGAACGAGGGTGGTGGGCTCTGTTGTCAGACATGATCCTTCTGGTCAGACGGTCAAGACTGTGGATGTCTTGTTTTGTCCAATCAACTACTCCAAAGGAATAGGAAAGGACTGGCACAGCAAAAGAAGTTTGTCTTGAATCTGGGCATTCTGGAGCTTGTCTCGAACTTGCATTCCAAGATAGGTGTAGGCCTGATCTTCCACAAGATGCTCAATAACTCCTCCCCCTTGTAACTTGACCGATCCATCATTAACTACCTTGCCACGTTTCAAATGAAGAGTATTACATTTGTCGAGTCCAAATGTCATGCCAATATCATTAGAAAAGGACTCGACAAGGAGAACCTGTTCTTTCAAATTGGAATCTCCTTTGGCAAGGAGCTCGATATCATCCATGTAAAGGAGATGAGTAAGCGGTGTTGGTGATCTGTGCTGAGGGGGAATTTGGAGTTATGTTCTGCTAATATTCACATTTAATACGTGAGTAATGAGTGAACAAAATTACAATCTTTAAATTCTCAATAATTTCTGGTTGAACTGTATATACTAATTTCCTGTGCTAGTGGTGGATAGATTGTCTGTCCACAGAGCGGAAGGTCGTTGGGGTTCGTCATACCGGTAAACATTAAAATGAGTGAGTATAGTTTTACGCTGCTTTCAGCAATATTCCAGCAATATCACGTAGGGGAAGACCAGAAATGGGCTTCACACGTCGTACTAATGTGTTGAATCGAACCTTGTCTTCGGCGTGACGAGCGAACGCATTTACCACTAGGCTATCCAACGCCTCTCTGAGCACTGAGGCCGTCTTAAGTCTATCTTAGAGTATGGGAGTTACGATCATCGTAACGCTAAAAACGCTTTATACGCGTGAGCCCATGCATTACTGGGATAGGGGTGGAGGGGCGTTCGCTCGTCACGCTGAAGAATCGGTTTCGATTCCCTACATGGGTAGAATGAGTGAAGCCCGTTTCTGGTGTCCCCCGCCATGATATTGCTGGAATAGTGCTAAAAGCGGCATAAAACTAAACTCACTCTCTCACTCATTATATGGATGAAACAAGGTGTGGTCGGCTCGGCTTCTGAGTGATATATACCAGTTAAACTGTAGCATGGTATCTCTATGGGATAACGCGGTAGATACTTGGCACTGCCTTAAACCCTATGTTATCTCACCTATACACATTTTGAAATAATAAAATCCAAGAATCGCAGTGTTACATGTACAACACACAAGACAATATTCCGGTCGAGATAATCAGAAGAATCATATAATTGATACGAACCTTCAACTGACTTTGAATTCAGCATTAGTAAAATGTACACTGCGACTTGCATACGATCCATGGTCTTCCAGATGAAGAATTAAACTGGCAGGACCTCCAATATGAAATCCGTTTGTCCTAGAATCTTGATGGGCTTTGAATGGTTGTAGTACGAGTTTATTTAATTATTTATGGAATGTTTCATTTATTGTTTGTGGTTATCGATCAGTATTTTCACATAAAAGTTATAAAATTAAAAACGGGCCAGTGGAGCAGCCGTCACACCGAAGACCTGAGTTCGATCCCCCGCATGGGTGCAAGGTGTGAAGTCCATTCCAGCTGTAATATCGCTGGAATATTGCTAAAAGCGGCGCAAAGTACTCACTTACTGACTTTGAGTTAACTTATGATGTTTCACTTTAATCCAGGTACCAAAAAGCGCTTTTTCTTTCAAACATGTATTTGTAGTCATTTGAGCTTTCCACCCCACTCCACCCCACACGCCCTTTACCCCCGAATGTACCTTTCGATCAGGCAAATCAGGTGATATTTGAATTTCCTGATAGACTTGTGAGAATCAGCTTAATATGGCCACAATCACTGTTTATGCACATTAGAAATGACTGAAAACCTTCTATCTCAGCCCGACATATTTCCTTTTCCTTTTTCTTAACGATAAGAGCAAAATATGGCGAAATATGAAAAATAATTCATATAAATGTCTTTTTAGGGGTGGGTTAGCGTACACAGTGACGAGTGGTATGCTGGCAACTTTGTTCTTAACGCTCTTTGAGGTCCGAATCCAAAGGTTTGGGATGATATGGCACTTAATCCGAAAACTTCCCTTGTCGAAGCGATGCTGCATTCACTAGATTCACGCGCGGACGTTCCACCAGTATGTATGGTGCCATGAAAAATTGGTATTGTCATTGTTTTTAGTTGTTTGGCGGTGATCAAAATAACATGATATAGTAATGTTTCAAACACCATATTTGAATGTCTGTTAATATCGCCTCAGGTACACGACCCCTGGACATTAGACAGGTGCTGATAAAAATATTCAGAATTTATTGATAATGACTTTTAAGTATTTTCTTATCAGAAATATGCGATTATTGATTTCGATTAGCCTGCATTATTCATGAGGTTAATGTGCCTAATATTTGGTGCGAGCCTTATCCAGCATTGTTGGCGGGCTGCAAGTTAAAAATCGGAGTTTCAGTCCAAACCATTAGGGAAGTGTGTTTTTAAAAAGTATGGAGAAAACCTTTATCTGATTGGCATTAACGTATTGGAAAAGACAAAGGTCATTCTCTTTAAATTTATAACATCCAGGAAGTTGTGTGGACGTTACACGTGAATATCGATTTCGGTGCTTGTGTACCCAGACAAACGCTTGGCATCGTCCGACAATGATGAGGATCATGATGGTAGATCTTGGGATCAGGGACCCTCGTGTTGTACAGGTAGGACTGACTGGGAATCACGATGACCAAACTCTGAGAGTCTACCATCAACAATAGACTGGGTCCCTGACCTGATTCAAGACCAGCGGTTTTGCTGACCTTGGAGTACTCGTGAGCACATCTAATACTCCACCCATGTGTTAGTTGAGAATGAACCTTATTTCTTCACTGACCGTAGCCTCACGCAAATGACACAAATGCAGTCAATATCATTTCTTGCAAGTCAGTTCATATTGTATGACAACTATGACAATATGACAAATATGTTGGATATGTGTTTGGTAAAAACTCCAGTCTAAGTAAACTTAGGCTCAGTATTATTCGTTACACTGCTATACTGAGTCTAACAAAACCTAGTAGAAGGTTGCGTCAGCTAACCTTTGAGCGACCTATGACCGTCCAATCAAACGCGAGACGGCCGAACGGATTTAACCAATCAGACAACGACTACTTGTTAGGGTTCGGCGGGACTTATTTTTCTCAAGATGAATATTGACGAAAACTCTATTTTCAGCGACTGTTTACTCATTGCGTGTATCACTCGGAAGCGATCGTGCGGAAAATAGCATTCGGAATCGTTCAAGTTTCTTTAGGTAAAGGTTCAAACGGTATGTGCGAATGTTAACTTTCGCGATTTGGTAAGCTGTGTTCTGATTGGTCAGTCCGACGGTTAGCTGACGCGACCTTCTACTAGGTTTTGTTAGACTCAGTATAGCAGTGTAACGAATAATACTGAGCCTAAGTTTACTTAGACTGGTAAAAACTCGTACATGTACTTTTACATAGTTACCTACCTTATACACACTATGTTGCTGTTCTTAGCTCGCCCGTACCTGTAACAACCCTCTCACCCTACTGTCTTTGCTGTTCTCTCGCTCGCTCTCTCTCCCTCTCTCTCTCTCTCTCTCTCTCTCCCTCTACTCTCTCTCTCTCTCTCTCTCTCTCTCTCTCTCTCTCTCTCTCTCTCTCTCTCTCTCTCTCTCTCTCTCTCTCTCTCTCTCACACACACACACACACACACAAAATTACACAATGTTATCTTTACCAGGTTTCTTTGTCCGTGCGATGTTATTGGACATGGTAGTGGTCGTAATAACGGTTTCCCTGTATGTGTGTTTATGTGCATCACGGATGCTTGGTTGTATATCTAGATAGGATCACCAAACTATAACCTGCTTATTTGCATCATCACCTAACGAAAATAATTGATAACGAACGCTGCGTTCAGTTTAATGGTGCGATGATTCACTACAATTCATCGTGAACATGATGACATGTTCTTGGCAACATTTTGGCATAATTCTCAATGTCATCAAACGTAGCGTTGATATTTCGGTCATGAAAATGCTTAATTGCTTTAGATCGATGTCTTGCTTTCTTGTAGACATTATCTCTAGAGTTTCTTGGCACAACATACTGCCCATCAGCATTAAACATCAACGGCGTAGGGCAACCGTAATGAGTTCTCTCCCCTTGGGACACGGTAGCATCCTCATCTGCATTGTGGTTTCTGATGGCATCATGCAACTTCCGGCACAGGAAGCATTCAAACTTCCTGAATATATCAATCCCGTCACTCAATGCTTTCTTCCGTTCGACTTCGATGAGGTATTCGTTTTGAATTCCAGTTTTTTTGTATTGTAAATACTTTTCATATTCGTCATCGTGTTGGTCCAGGTAGTTGATATGGCGAGCCACGTCCTCTATGTTGTCGAAGTCAGTTATCACGATGGCCGATTTCTCTGCAGGAAGAAAATCCTGGAATGGAGAAGCATATGTTGATGTTAGTTATAAAGATTCATTATTCTTGTAATGGCTTTGAGCATACTCGCTCAGCGGTTTCCTTCGAGGTAGCTCAGATTATAAGTACCCTCTGCGTATTGTTAGTGCCCCCAAGGTGGATCGGTTGGTCAGGGTCTCCCACTTGGCTCACTATGTGTTATTCTAAAACTGATGGCAGGGATCACCATTCATATGTTCAGTGGTTGGGTTCACTGCTCACGATTTTCTCAAGACTGTAAATACTCGAGTCTGGACCAGACAATCCAGTGATACACAGCATGAGCATACGATGTCATGTGTCAACCATGTCAGCGACTCTGACCACCCGATCCCGTCAGTCGCCTCTTACGACAAGCTTGGGTTGCTGAAGAACAATTCTAATCAGGATCTTCACGGGTGCTCTTCATATTACTTCACTTTACCTGTCTCTCTGGTGGATATTGAAATACCATAATGTTCTTTAAGTTGTTACGAGTAGTATACGTAGAGACGGTATGCACAATCCTATTCCACAATTACTGTTGTGTTAACGTAAAGGTACTTTCATGTTATAAATATAGATTCGCCCCTAAGGCCCAGGTGCAGGGTGCTTTCTGGGTTAGAGTGGGTGAGTATCGTTTTGCGCCGCTTTTAGCAATATTCCAGCAATATCACGGCGAGGGACACCTGAATTGGGTTTCACACATTGCAACCATGTGGGGAATCGAACCAGGGTCTTCAGCCTGACGTGCGAACGCTTCATCTATAAGGCTACCTCACCGCCCCTCCTAAGCTAGAAATGATAAAGAACAACCTATGCTAGTCGTAAGAGGCGACCAACTGGATTTGAAGATCATGCTGAGTGATTGCATGTTACCGCATCACGACGGCTGGGATCATAGCTCACATTATCAATCACTGGATGTTCTAATCCAGGCTAGATATATTTACAGGTCTCCTTTATACTGACTGACTATCTCTGAGTGCGTCGTAAAACAGTATGGATTTACTTCAACGAAGTCTCAGTATGAAGAAGTACAGAGCGGTTAGTGCACATTGCGGCGTTAAGCAACAACCAAAGTTATGGAATCCTAGAAGGGACATTGTCGTGTTGTCGCCCTTACAAAAGTGGTAAAGCGTTCGCTCGTCACGCGACATTTTGTCCATTTGTCGCATTGTCGTGCTTTGAATAATACATGTATTTTTTATTCAACCAATGCGACATAGCGACAGTTTTCAAGGTCAAAATATGTCACGTTGTCGCAGTATCACGGTTTGGTTAATTTTGCCACTTTTTGCGTGTTTTTGTAAGGGCAACAACGCGACAATGCCCCTTCTATGATTCCATATAAACTTGCCAAAAAAAACTGTCACAGCGGTTGAAATAATCACTAGTCTGTATGTGTCCTTGGCAAACTGAGACCTGAAACGTGTAATTACCTTCACAGTCGGAGACCCGAACACAATAGGCACAGTCCCTGCTACAAGGGGGCGCCACAGTTTCTCCGTTATGTAATCCGGACACACGGCGTTTTCAAAGGCAAAAGCGAACTTGTACTGGGCGACGAACCTGTGAAACTCGGGAGAAAGCATCCCAGCCATGGTGCCAAAATTAGTACTGTAAAGAAAAGTATATGCGTTATGTGATAATCGTAACAAACTGGAACAAACCATGTTTACGTGGACAGATTGCTATTAACTTCTCAGGATTCCAATCAAGAGTAGGCACGCAGTGTTAGATGGTTCCAGGATTCTGTGGAACCAGTAGATGCTTCAGCGGAACCACAAGACGGTTCAGTGTGTTAGTACATGTGGGTCCATTGTATCCGGGTTGTAAGAACTGACTGAGAAGGATTATTGGTCAAAAGGATCGAGGGGTACACCGTACATGGTTTGTCTTACCCATAGGGCGGTGGGGTAGGCAAGTGGTTAAAGCATTCGCTCATCACGCCGAGGTTCGATTCCACACATGGGTACAGAGTGCACAGCCGATTTCTTGTATCCCCCGCTGTGATGTTGCTGGAATATTGCTAAAATACACGTAAATCTAAACTCACTCACTCACTCTTACCCATACTTAAATATTGACAGGCCGACGTGATACAGCTGGAGGCGTGCTGACTGTTCCGTCAATAAACCGACTTGTGATTGGCACAGAATAAGACTATGGATCAGGGGACCAGTGGTAAGGTTTGTTCAAAGTTTGTGCATCGTAATTGCAGGTACCGACGAATCTACACTAAGTGAGTGAGTGAATTAGTAACGCCGCTTCCAACTGTATGCTAATTATATAACTCCCGGTCAGCTCGATGTCGGAGGAAAGCCAGGAGTTATGCCGGTTCCAGACGTTTACCACTCTGGTGAAACCCAGGTGCACGTCAATAGTGCCGACAAACCTAGTAACACAATTCCAACCTAGAAGTATTATGGGTCTCTTTCGTAGCCAAGGGACGCAACTCTGCACACCCAATTGCGGCGCCTAACACCACTGGGCCAACCGTGTCCCATCTCTCTGTCCGAAAGCAAAGGTTCCAATAACCGTGATAGTAAACATCTTACATTGATATTAAATTACATTTGTGACGTCATTCCATTGTCTGTTCGCTCCATTACTTTTCAGGAATGGAGCGATGTGTACCAGTTTCAAAATAAAACCTTTATTTTGTCATTTTGACATTTAATTTTAATGATAACAGAAATATTCCCAATACTTCGAATGTAATTTAAGTAGGGTAATATTCTCGTAACTCTCCAATCCTTAAAAATAATGTGCCTCGGCTCCATTATTTTTAAGGAATGGAGAGTTACTCGGACATTACCCTCTACGTAATGTATTCTCTCATTCATACTCGACATACTTCCAGAGCAGATCATCAAGCAACCATGTGCCTGTCCTTTAATTTGAAATAACTCTTACAACGCTAAAGACACTCCAAGCCCTGTATGTACCCTTTCGGTTGTGCGGTAGTGTCAAGTAAATGATTTACCTACCTGTTAGGAAAGTCTTTGTTATGGTCACATGGTCCATAAGAATCAACTTGAACATATTTCTGTAACATTTGCAAGTAAGCCCTTCTGTCTGAAGGAGTCACACAATCACTATGAACATATATAATTGGCGCCAGTCCTTCTTCCTTCCTCAACCTTGTCTTCTCCGACGTCCGCACTAAATAGGTCACGTCCGTCAAACTATTTATATCTGATAACCACTGTGTTGGAAATGGACAGTGGCTCTCTCTCCGGAAAGTTGAGGTGTAGTTGAAAAGGTAGATAACTTCATCTTGGGAGATCAACCATTCGTTGTTTTTGGGTGATTCGTTCATGAACAGACCCCATATGTCCCCGCGTTGTCGTGGAAACGGAAATCCTGTCTCACCAAAGCTAGTGCCGTCAAATATGTATGCCTGAAATATTTAAAGGCAATGCAATGATACTTGGCCGAGTGCTGCTCTGGTACATGTTTATCAATTATCTAGATTGACATACACCAGCATTCAGTCAGAATTACTTTAAGTGATACCACGGCATCTTTGCTGAATTGGTGAGGAATTGCCGTGATAAATGTTTTAAATGTGTGCCACTTTGGTAAAATGAAAAACAACAAAAACATGTTTTCTGCTGACAGAGTAACAACAGGGTCATTTCAGGAACTCAATTCTACGATAAGCGGACCTTGTACTTGATATGAGACATCTGCGCCACAGCTGGTTGTAGACGAATACACAGGACATTTAGAAAGTATACATTATACAGGGGTATGGCCGGCTTGCTCTAAACTGACCCCTGCAAGGACTACAAAATGGCGGCCTTCACTTTTGGGGACACGCCATATATTTTCTATAGAAAAATCTAAGAACGGGTTGTTAAATGGGCTTTTATACATTTAGAGTAGGAAACTGTTATTTACGTAGTTTCGAGACACATAAGTCGTCGTTATATGGGCTTAAATTATATTTGTGACGTCATTCCATTGTCTGTTTTCTCCATTACCTTTCAGGAATGGAGCGATGTGTACCAGTTTCAAAATAAAACCTTCATTTTGTCATTTTGACGTTTAATTTTGATAACAGAAATATTCCCAATCCTTATAATGTAGCTTAAGAAGGGTAAAATACCCTCGTAAAGATATCCTCCTTAAAAATATCTTAAAAATATCGCTATTGTCACAAAATTGTACCCACAATACATGGTGAGGTGAGGTGAAATGGGGTTTAACGAATAACGTCGTACTTGTGAATATTTCGCTCATATGACGACGTGCATGCGTGTGTACGTGTGGCTGCTTGTACTATAGTGCTGACATACCATGCCGCTGTTAGGCATGAATACCCCATTCAGACACATTATACTGACTCCAAGCCGACCAGTCCTTGTTGTACCCATTAATGCCGAGCGCCAGGCAGGGAACAACAAATACCATATTTTAACGTCTTTTGGTATGACGCGGCCGGGGATCGAACCAGCGACCTTCCGCGCCCCGGGCGGACACTCTAACCACTACACCACGTTAGCGGTCACAATGCATGGAACAGAATGACCATGTTGCTTAAATATCATTATCTTCTCGATGATTTGGGTCATTTTCTTCTGATGTTTTATGCTGAAAATAAACTGGATCCCCAGTATATTAACCAGAAAATGGTACTTTTGATCCATAAGAATCACTGGTTGTTGGTTGGTTCGTTGTTTAACGCCGCACTCCAGCTATATGGCGGCGGTCTGTAAATAATCTAGTCTGGACCAGAAAATCCAGTCATCAACATCATGTCAACACAGTTTGGATATGATGACATGTGTCAACCAAGTCAGCGAGTCTGACCACCCGATCCTGTTAGTCGCCTCTTTCGAATAGCATGGGTTGTTGAAGACGAATACTAACCCGGCCCGCGTTTCACAAAAGCCTCCTAAATTTAGGAGGTCGTAGCCCATACGACCTTGTTTACGACCCTTTTCCGACCTCCTTTACGATCGTTTCACAAAGACGTCATATCCATGTCGTACGACGCGGTGCTAAATCCATGTCGTACATTGTATAAGAGGTACTTTGTTGCATAGCAACGCATTAAGCGAGACCGAACGGGGACCTGCTCATTTTGTTATTCCAAAAGTATTTCAAAATACAGGTAATCTTATCGTAAAAAAATATCAATAAATGAATTATTTTGGATTCTCTCACTAAATTCCATTGAAAATTACAAGATAAAATGTATAAATCATTTCCATTAATATTATCAGTTTTATTTATAAGGTTTGAATTAAATTGCTGTCCATTAACTTGTTCATATGAAACTGCAATATTAGTCCCAATGTATTGAATATTGCACACTATGGGACCTAATGTCAATGTTGCAGTTATGGCTACGCTTGATCTACTAACACTTGTGTAAAGGTTTAAAATATGGTGTGATACTCTAAATGTGTCAATTTCTTTTGTAACTTTTATTCAAACCATCAAAAACTTTCAAAGAATAAAAACGTATACCCAATATCCACATATGATATGATATTGAACAAGGCTAAATGTAGGTACTGAAATTGGTTTCATGAAAAAAGATATATGAATGATACGCAAAATATACATCATAGTACAGAAAGTGTAATCAGAAGGATAGGACGATTGTGTTTACTTTTTTTATCCGACCTTCACCTCAAAGATATTGCCTAATATGTAGTACTACAACAATGTTGACGTGTGACATTACAACCGATGACCGATTTCTTACAAAATGGCAGCTTCACTGACAAGGGTACACAGGATTTTGCGAGGACTCTTCCCTTGATTTAGGGATCGTTTGTACATAAATATGAAATGTAAGTAATCAGAGTGACTCTGACTATCTGTGTATTGTTATAAGTTTTCTTTGTAAGTAAGAGAAGAAGCCAGAAATGCTGATAATTACCGTTGTCGTTCTGCGTGATTTTGAGTCTGTTATGGCGTCACGCTGCACGGAAACTTTGACAATTTCTTATGAAGTATCAAATCATTCCTTTATATCTATTTTTAATTTCCTCTTTCTTGCTATGATCGATACTCTTTCCATGCATATTCTAAAGGTATTGAGCCATTGCTACGCAGTATTAATCGGAATTTTTCTTTGTTTACATTTCAGTAGCGCAGTCTTCCGAGCACAGCGTTTGTTTTCACACCCAATATCCAGTTGGTATTGGTAACAAAGACCAACTGTGATTTGATTTCAAAAATGTATGTGGAATTCAGTGATGCATTTGTCGCAGCTGACTATGAAATATACTTCATTTGATAGGCAACTCAATACCGGCCTTTGCGAGACGTGATTTTGTAAACACTATCCATTATGGCGGAAAGCGCACTTCGGCGTTCGTGTAAATATATTTTCGAAAACATCCAAACCGATTCTAGGTTCATCGGGAGCGTTTCAGATTATCATTAGTGATATCATGAACAACTGATTTCAGTGATCATTAATATGTTATTTTTTGAAATTCAGTACCCCCAGTAATTATCCGATTTTCACTTTTGAAAACATACTGTCTACACTGTACAGCAAATAATGCTGTGAATCGTGATTTCGTATTGTGTATAAAATGGCGACATTTACGATGAAGCCTATTTTGATAGGTTATTTAAGCACTTTAGCTTTGTCTGAGATTTTAGTGGATAGTATCAAGAAACAGGGAATTTCCCGCAGAATACAAAACTGTGAAGTATATTTGTGTGCGTGACATATTATAGAATTTTACTGGACTTCAAAGTGAGGGTTGAAGAGGAAGGACATATGTCCCTGTGTTACCCATGTTTTTTAATCAAGTCCAGATACACGGCCAGAGCACTAGCGGTGTCGGTGTCGCGGAGTATTCTTGACACACTAGCTCGGGATACTCCATGGAGATCCCCGATTTCACTGAGGAAAACCCCTTTTGCCAAATACCTCTGTGTACACAACACTTGCAGGGAGGTCGGAATAGCATGTGAACGCCTTGTAGGTTTGTTCAGTTGGGGCTCTAACTTTCTGCACAGTTAGAAAACAACATGAGTGTCGAGCACGTTCAACCTGTCTCAAAATTTCTCAGGTCTTCTTTGTTAGCGCGTTTCAGTCACTTGCAGTGCCATAATCGTTGACGCCATCTTTGTAGTGTTTACGACCTCCTAAAGCATCAACGACAGGTCCATCGGGGTCCTAAATTTGGGGCTGTTTACGGCACAGTGTAAATATACGAGGTCTTTGCGAAACAGCGTAAAAAATTAAGAGGTGGTCTACGACCTGCTTTATGAGGTCGTACCGGTAAGAGGGCTTTGTGAAACGGGCCCCCGGGGCCTTTATGGGTACCCTAATAGCATGGGTTTATGAAGACGAATACTAACCAGGACCTTTACGGGTTTCCTAATAGCATGGGTTGTTGAAGACGAATACTAACCAGGGGCCCGTTTCACAGACCTCTTACCGGTACGACCTCGTAAAGCAGGTCGTAGACCATCTCTTACTTTTTTACCCTGTTTCACAAAGACCTCGTATATTTACACTGTGCCGTAAACAGCCCAAAATTTAGGACCCCGATTGACCTGTCGTAAATGCTTTAGGAGGTCGTAAACACTACAAAGATGGCGTCAACAATTATGGCACTGCAAGTGATTAAAACGCGCTAACAAAGAAGACCTGAGAAATTTTGAGACAGGTCGAACGTGCTCGACACTCATGTTGTTTTCTAACTGTGCAGAAAGTTAGAGCCCCAACTGAACAAACCTACAAGGCGTTCACGTGCTATTCCGACCTCCCTGCAAGTGTTGTGTACACAGAGGTATTTGGCAAAAGGGGGTTTTCCTCAGTGAAATCGGGGATCTCCATGGAGTATCCCGAGCTAGTGTGTCAAGAATACTCCGCGACACCGCTAGTGCTCTGGCCGTGTATCTGGACTTGATTAAAAATCCCTGGGTGCCACAGGGATATATGTCCTTCATCTTCAACCCTCACTTTGAAGTCCAATAAAATTCTATAACATGTCACCACACAAATATACTTCACAGTTTTGTAATCTGCGGGAAATTCCCTGTATCTTGATACCATCCACTAAAATTTCAAAGCTAAAGTGCTAAGATAACCTTTCGAAATAGGATTCATCGCAAATGTCGCCATTTTATACACAATACGAAATCACGATTCACAACATTATTTGCTGTACAGTGTAGACAGTATGTTTTCAAATGTGAAAATCGGATAATTACTGGGAGTACTGAATTTCAAAAATAACATTAATGATCACTGAAATCAGTTTTTCATGATATCACAAATGATAATCTGAAACGCTCCCGATGAACCTAGAATCGGTTTGGATGTTTTCGAAAATATATTTACACGAACGCCGAAGTGCGCTTTCCGCCATATTGGATAGTGTTTACAAAATCACGTCTCGCAAAGGCCGGTATAGA